GTAAGTCCAAACCAAAGACGGAAAAACCCGTTACTTTGTCTGCGCCTGTCACCTCCACTGGTGAGTATCCGTCGAGGACGGCGACATTGCTTCTCAATGCCTCCACAGCTTTAGAACACATGGACGATGCTATCACGATTGATGTTGAGGAGAAACAAGTTGATGAAAATCGTTCGGGAACAGGAAAGACGTCAAGGCGTAAGTCTAAGTCCAAGAAGGAAAAGCCCGTTACTTTGTCTGCGCCTGTCACCTCCACCGGTGAGTATACACTAAATTCTGCGACATTCTTTTTGAAGGCTCCCATAGCTCTAGAAAACACGGACGATGCTACACTTCCGTACGCATCTGAATTAGGTATCGTGTAATGTGTAATTGTCTGGAAAGTTTACCTCACGACCTCACTTTCAGAGGACGATATCCCTCGTCCCAGCGACGTCAAAGGCAAAAAGGGCAAGCAGAGTTTCCCCGGAGAGAGTAGCAAGAGTACGTTGAGTGCAGGCTGATCAATTTACAGCTGACAAGCCCTGAATCTAATAGACGGTGCTCAACGACTTAGGACGACCGATGTTGATTCCGATACGCCAATGGATACATCAATATCATCCGCCAAACCCAGAAAACATACTAAGACGTTCAGGAAAAGTAAGCAAAGCCGATTAATTTCAGCGCGACGTGACACTCAATATACTGATTAGAAAAACCGATAAGTGCGGAGACTGTCGAAGATTCTGATGGAGAGAATGACAACCGTGATGTCTCCGTTCAATCCAAGCAGACCTTGTCAGACGGCAAGCAAATCTTGGGCACGGTTATTGGCCAAGACGTCGCTGGTACTCACGTTAGCAAGTCTGCGTCCACAAGTGAGTATTATCATTGGGTACCAACGGTGTCAATGATCCAACGCCTACCACAGAGAAACCCTTGACATCCCTAGTCTCTTACAGCTCAGAAGACAGTCAACCCGGTACGTTCTGTCCGATTATCCATTCTTACCACCCGCAGATAATCATGTATCTTCAGACGAGTCCTCTATTCCCGGGATCCCGTCAAATCGTGAGTCATCTATCGGAAACTTTCATGGTCTAATTCATACGCATATCTGAATATTAGCAACAGTCGATGTTGAGGGACTTATTCCTGACCTTCAGCATGTGGACGTCAACAAGGGGAATTCGACAGCGGGGAGCGAGAACGAGAATCAACCGGAGATATTGGTTGGGGATGACCTGTCGAATAATGAGATAACCATCGACTTGGACGAGGACGAGGATATACGTAGCTTTCCCAGTGTCTCAAGGCATCAGAGCGCAGAACCTTCCAATATCCCGTTATTTGTGGACTTGGACTCCGACGATGGTATGACCAGCTTCATCCCTACCGAAGGTGATCTGATTGATAAGCCAGATATGGATGTGGGTGACGAATCAACCTCCAAGAAGCCTACAATCTCTTCGCATCGGCGAAACCGTGACCCATATCCCGACACGCCTCAGAAAAAGCGGGACAAAGATAGCAAGCGTGTCAGGTTCTCGCCGAGGCCTACCTCACCTACGCCTGGAAGTACTCTTGGAAAGACGAAGCTGGGCAGAAAGGCGGAAGGATCTCGTGCTGGGCGACTTGCAAATCTGCAAGCCCTCAGGTCTGGGGCCAATGATCACCTCAATTCTGGGGTAGAGGCAGCGCCACACTCATCACAAGAGACTGTAGACTCAATTGGTCGAGGGATTAACGCTTCACCGCCAATTCCCTCAGAACTGTCGAACGAAGACTCAGATGAGTTTGAACAGCCAAGGCCTCCGTCGTTTCTCCAAAGCCTCACTAGGAACAAAGGTTTGTGTTACTCTAATCTCATGACAATACGGACGGCTCAGTGCACTTTGTTCTACAGCAGTCTTGCATTCACACGCTGAACAGCCGCCACATCGACAACCTACCAGATTCTCTGCTCACAGCACTGACGTCGAGCTCAAAGATCTCCCCGCGCTGACAAAGAAGCCAACAAACCCGTTCAAAGCAAAGAAAAGGCGCTAGTAGTGGTGATATCGTAGTCGTCTCCCCTCCCCTCCCGTCATTAGTTTTACTTTTGTGTACGAAAACGCAGTACTCAATAAGTATTTTCATTATCTCTGAGGTCTCAGCACAATGTGTCAGTCCTGGACGGTCAAGATAGACGTGGACGTACTCACCGTGTATTTGTGTCGTTGGACACGCTGCTTGTATTATTCGTCGCGTAAAACAGCATGCACAAAATGAACATGACACAAATTGTCAGTCCTGGACGGTCAAGATAGACGTGGACGTGCTCACCGTGTATTTGTGTCGTTGAACACGCTGCTTGTATTATTCGTCGCGTAAAACAGCATGCACAAAATGAACATGACACAAATTGTCAGTCCTGGACGGTCAAGATAGACGTGGACGTGCTCACCGTGTATTTGTGTCGTTGAACACGCTGCTTGTATTATTCGTCGCCGTAACACAGCACGCACGAAATGAGTAGGCGTGGACGTACTCACCGTGTATTTGTGTCGTTGAACACGCTGCTTGTATTATTCGTCGCGTAAAACAGCATGCACAAAATGAACATGACACAAATTGTCAGTCCTGGACGGTCAAGATAGACGTGGACGTGCTCACCGTGTATTTGTGTCGTTGAACACGCTGCTTGTATTATTCGTCGCCGTAACACAGCACGCACGAAATGAGTAGGCGTGGACGTACTCACCGTGTATTTGTGTCGTTGGACACGCCTGTGCTTTTATTCGTCGCGTAACGCAGCACGAAATGAGGATGAAACAATATGTCAGTCCTGGACGGTCAATTATGTAGAGCAAGTGAAGAACTTACAGTGATAGAGCTCGTTTATATGAATGAGATCTGCGTCGGGGCTGGCGAGCAGTCGAGGGCGATGGGTGGCCTACATATAACATTGTCAGCATGATTTTTAATTATCTTTGTTAGTACCTTACCTGGGCCAAAACAACATCTACGTAATGGTCGACGTCAGAAGCTACATCGATCGCGAATTTTACAAGCAATTCTGTCGACAAAAAATCGGAAGCTACATAATGCTACTATATATCACTGCGAAAAGGCGTTAGTGATGAATAGAAGGGTATATGTGACATTACTTACCAAACAAAATCCAAGTCGGACGCGGTCAAAGCCAGTCCCCCCCGAAACGTCCTGACTTCTTTTACGTTCCATCGCCGCGAAAATTTGACGTGAATGGTTATGGCGGGGGCGTCGTCGATGTAGCCCCTCACAGTCACGTGTGATTGTGACTCTGAGACGCTGTTATGCGGGGCCCCGCTAAAACAAGTTAGCGCAGAGCGAACGACAAAGAAATTGACTTACACGATGACGAAGTGAGTCAACGACTCGTAGTCGTGTCTCCCGTCTGCCTCGATCATCGCCTGATTGGCGATCAACGCCGTCATTACTGCTGTTTGGAGTTGTTGTCGTCGTCCTCGGCAACGACGCGAAGCGAGAGTTGTCGAGATAATGTAGAGGGATGGCATTGTTAAGAGTGATAGTCGTTGTGTTGTATGGTGTGGTTGTTGGTAATGAGGTGAGGGCGAAGATGTGTGGTGACGGGTGTAGTGAGAGAGGCGCCGTTCGCCCAAATAGGAAGGGCGGGATTTGTCAGCGCTTTAGGCGCCCAAGACCAGACGACTACGGTTTTTCCATAGTCTAAGCGCCCGTGACGCGTGACTGATTAGTAATCGTGACGAGTGACAATAAAATAATAATTGTGACGACCCAAATTGGTAAATGTGACGCGTGACAAAAATGACAATTGCGACGACCCAAATTTGTACATAATGACGTGTGACATAAATTTGTAATCGTGACGCGTGACATACATTTGTAGTTTTCGACCACCGTTTTGTTTGCCCTGTATTCATTTGAGCTTTGTATTTGTGTGTACACACACGCACACACACACACTCACACATGATGGAATATTATGCTGGTTATTAACGATAATGCACACACAAAGAACGTGCCCACATTTGTCCGTCCGGGACGGCAAGTTCAAGTTGTCACATTCTCATCTCTACTTTCAACTAACCCATAAATGATGCTTTCTTCTCAACTCTTTACTTATTTATTACTTTACCTGTCGCCGCTGTGATCACAAGGTATTTTCTAGTAATTCTCAGCAGTCAACTCCACAGCAAGTCAAGTAAGTGAATACACGACAAACACGACAATTTGACGGTGTCGCTTCGCCGACACGCCAAATAATCGTGATTGCGTGTATCCACTTACTTGACTTGCTTGCTGTGGAGTTGACTGTTGACATGCACTGCGTATAGCCGTCCTGGACGGTCAGAAACATACTCTACAGCATATATGCTGAGTTTTTGTTGGTCCATACTTACTCATGATCCACTTGTGGCCGTCCAGGACGGCCACGCAGCGCGTATAGTGCTCACCCGCTATTGACTGATGTCTACCCGCTTTCCCACGAAATTATGACCGCCCCGAAATTGCTTCCGTTTTCCCACGAAACTGTCAGCGCTCCGATGTGCATTCCGCCTTCCCACGCACTGTCCCATTCCACATCCCACGCACTGACCCACTTCGTCTTCCCACGCACTGACCCATTGACTCCGTCTTGTAATAATATACATCGATGGAATCTGTTACAACATTCCCCACACCACCAATGCATCCCACCACACACCAGGTCGTCCAAGACGGCCACACAACTGTTCTATACATCTTATCAATCCCTATTTTCATCTTTGGCATTTTCAGCACCATTTCTCACTCCATCCCTAATGGTTTCCCCATTCCTTGCTCCTAAGCTTCATGCTAGTGCCTTTGCTACTGTTTTCCCTGTCACTAGTCTTCTAGCAGTGTTCTCTCATGTACCCTATTGTGTCCCTAATGTTTTTTCTACCACCATTCCTCTACATTTTCCCCTAGCATCTGTGTGTTATGCATCCCTGCTATTTTCCCTACCACCAATTCCCTACCATCTCTCTCATATGAACCCTGCTACTTCCCTACCATATTCCCTGCCACCAGCTCCGTATCATTTCCCTATCTCTGTATCCCTATCGTCCTCCCTATCACCATTTCCCTACCATCACTTACCCTACCCTAGGGAAAAAATTCCATCCCTAAAAATTCCCTAGGAAATATGAAAAACAATCCCATAACCCAAAACTCGACGGAACCAACTATGCTAGCTGGAAGGACCATGTTACCGCGTTCTTCTATGCTCAAGACCTTGGCTCTATTCTTGAACCTGCACCTCCCGTTGCTGGTGCTGCTGCCTCTGCTTCAGCCTCTGATGCGGATAAGGGTCCTAACCCTGCCGAGTCGCTGTTCTCGGGGCTATCGAAGACCGCCCAGATGCAAAGCGACACCAAGGCCTACGGACTCATCTTCTTTTTTGACCATCAACCGTCATAACCATCAGCTTGACCGTCGTGACTGTCAGCTTGACCATCAACCGTCATGACCGTCATGACGATCAGCCTGACCGTCAATTAAGCGCCGATGACCGTCAGCCTGACCGTCAGCTTGACCATCAAGTAAGCGCCGATGACCGTCATGACCATCAGCCTGACCGTCAATTAAGCGCCGATGACCGTCAGCTTGACCATCAACCCTTGTGACCGTCATGACCGTTGTGACCGTCAAGTTGACCGTCATGACCGTCACCTTGACCGTTGTGACCGTCAAGTTGACCGTCATGACCGTCAGCTTGACCATCAACCCTTGTGACCGTCAAGTTGACCGTTGTGACCGTCAAGTTGACCGTCATGACCGTCAGCTTGACCGTCAAGTTGACCGTCAGCCTGACCGTCAAGTTAACCGTCATGACCGTCAACCATTGTGACCGTCAAGTTAACCGTCATGACCGTCAACCATTGTGACCGTCAAGTTAACCGTCATGACCATCAGCCTGACCGTCGTGACCGTCATGACCGTCACCTTGACCGTCATGACCATCAGCCTGACCGTCAATTAAGCGCCGATGACCGTCAGCCTGACCATCAACCGTTGTGACCGTCAGCTTGACCGTCATGACCGTCAGCTTGACCGTCATGACCGTCAGCTTGACCATCAACCCTTGTGACCGTCAGCCTGACCGTCATGACCGTTGTGACCGTCAGCCTGACCGTCATGACCGTTGTGACCGTCAGCCTGACCGTCATGACCGTTGTGACCGTCAGCTTGACCATCAACCATTGTGACCGTCAAGTTAACCGTCATGACCATCAGCCTGACCGTCGTGACCGTCATGACCGTCACCTTGACCGTTGTGACCGTCAAGTTGACCGTCATGACCATCAACTTGACCCCTGATATCATGGGCATAATCGACTGTTCAGCTGGGGCCAGTTTTCATGGCCAGGGCCCGAGCCAGCGGAGTGAAAGAAGATGGCGATGGCGTGTGCTGGCGCGAAGCCAACTGAGGAGATTGCGCTCATATGCTGAGCTGGTTAGGTAGGGGGAGGCGGGGCATATTGGCGCTTTTGGAGGGTTAGGGGGAGGCGATGGCATTGCTGCTTGTGATGCCATCTGCTGTGCCCTGTTTCGCTTCAGTTGTTGGTAAATTGGCAATACTTAAATAGTTGGCATTGTCGGCGCACCGTCAGTATGTTTATCGCTATTAGGGTTCAGCCGCTTTTCACAACTATACAGGATTACATCATTGACTAGTTTCACGCACTTATATGCCCAATGCACTGAGCAGAGTAGTTTTTAAAACTGAAAAAAGAAACCAGTACAATGATACAAGACGACAATGATACATGCAATAAATGAGAAATGCGACTATTTCTCCAAGACAAAATCTATGAAACATTCCACAGCCAAGTCCAAACGCAAATCAGAAAGGCTATCTGGCTGTTTGGGAGCCTTGCCGCCCCCTGGCCCACCCCGGAATCCTGGCTCAAAATCGTCGCATTCGCGCAAACGCCGTATCTGTTCAAGGGGAATAGGATATCCCTGCTCCGAAAGCAAGTGACAGTATATCCTGCAGACTTGCTGCAGATATACTTCGTAAATATCTCCGATGAAACTCAGAGGCCGGCCAGCGAAGCTAAACCTGAATTTATCCGAAGCCTGGATCTGCCGTGCCACTCTGAGAGCATTTGAGGAGATGACGGCAACCTCATCCTGACATTCGACGTGCTGAGAGAAGAAGACCGGAAGAAGCCGGCCTACGGCACAAACGACGAGGACATCCTTCATGCCCTCCGTTGTGGAGACTTCGGGCAGATGGTGCCAGAGATTATCTATTTCAGAAAAAGATGAGTAAAAAAGTAAAATAAAGACTCTTTAAGCGGACTTACCAGGAACAACGTTGGGAGTAAGGCAAGCCTTTCCTATCATCTCTACTACGCGCCCCATAATAGAAATTGTGCACTCGTCGTGCTCCGTGTTCGTGGCGCTGGGCATAGCAGCAGAGATGATGAGGCTGAACATATGACGCCGGATGCTCCTCCCATGGTAAAAGTGGCTCCCTGAGAACACGGTTGAGTCCTCAAGGGTTACAACCATGTGAGGGCACCCTCCAGGCATCACCCTTTTTTAATGATCAGCGACAGATACAAAATCAAGGGCAACTTGACTTACAGCGCCGTTCCCGGTTCCAAAATCACGTAAGACACTTCGTAGTCTTCCGAGTCCAAAACAGCGTCATTGTAGCCAATGACATCTTCTGCCCAGTCAATAGGCCTTGACGAATAAGGGTCGTCCTTTCGTCGGATCAACGCCCAAAGCTTCCTACCGTAAGTAGCAACTACTACCGTTCCGAAACCGTTCGAGTCAACATGTACGTGGTGCCAAGTTGACGGAGTGGCAGCAATGGTCCATGTCAGCGCCGACATGTCTGCCGCTTTCCGAGGCATGTGGTGGGACCATGTTGCTGAATAACAAACGCGATCCAAGGTGTCGTCGGAGACCAGCGGCGTTCCTGCTGGCAGAGGACCAGGGAAGTCGAGGAAGTTGATTGCCTTGCGTTCGGGCGACTTGGAGATTGTGATGATCTCTTCCAGGGTGGCCCTTCTAAGGCGTTCATTGCCTGTGGGACCCAAATCTATTGATTGATCTACATGGCAAGTCAGCAGACGGCAGGGTGTTTTGGCTGAGCGATGCTCACCGTTGCATATTATGGATGCGTCAAGGAATCTGTTTAGACCCCTTAATGCGCCCTCGAAACTCTCCGGAGCTTCTACAGGCACGCCCGTCACCAAGATGGCCTTCGTATTCAACAGCTCCCCCACTTGGCTGGGGGACCATTGCTTATAGACATCGTAAGGCACAGACTTGATTGCGGTGCCATTCCCGTCGCCCGAGGTATAATCGGGGGGACGATCTCCACACGTCCGTCGAATGCCTCTGATCAACGCGAGGAAAGACTCCCTGGCGTACTCGTGCTGAAAATGATGTTAGGAAATGCTGACAAAAAGGTGTTTCGACTTACATGAAAGGATGGGAGAAGTTCGACGGCTTCGCCGCGGATATCAAAGAGGACAGTTGGGGGAGCAGCGTAGCGCTTTGAAAGAGTCAATAAATCAATATTTATATTGATTAAAAGCGGCTTACCTCCTCAGCAGATGTACCTACAAGACGAGCTAGCCATTTTCTGGGACCCCTAGTATGGTTGGGGGGAATGCCGCCTCTCTTTCCTCCTTCAGCACCTTGCGATCGGCTTAGGGTTGTGGACGTCTGTCGCCTTGTTTTGGAGGAGGATGGCTTGCTGGGCGGTTTGCGTGGGCCCTTTTTTGCAGGCGATGGCTTGGAGGCGGGGGGCTTGGTGGCGGAAGGGGTTTGGTTGTCGTTCTCATCGCCAGGGGACGGAGTAGATGGGTGCTTGTGTAGCCTCTTGAGCTTGTGCGTAAGGTAATCGTCGCTGTCGTCGGAGGGCACGGTGGGTCTTAGCCTCTTGCGCATTGATGGCCCAGCTTTTGGGTCGTCGTCGTCGTCGTCGTCGTCGTCGTTGTTGTCCTCGGCGTCGTCCTCGGCGTCGTCGTCTCCGCGTCTGCGTTTGCTGCTTCCAATGGGCTCTTGGCCACCGCCCACTTTGCCAGCATCCAGGTTGATGTCGGCATTCTCTGTCCTATCCACATCATCGTCCCTTTCATCGTCGTTGTCGTCTTTGTCGTTGTCGTTGTCGTTGTCGTTGTCGTTGTCGTTGTCGTCCTCGTCCTCGGCGTCATCCCCTTTGCCAGCATTGCTAAGAGGGCCATCAGGCGGGGGTGAGTTTTCCCTCGGGGCATTCAACCCCGAAGGTCCAGCAGCTGGAGGATGGTAGGAGGTATTAGACGGCGGGGTTGGGGGGGTTCCGGGAGCTAGGGCTGGTTGGGCCAATGCCGGGCCGTCGTCGACAGATGTTGGCACGTAAAAGAGAGGCTCCAGCGACTTGTAGAATTCATGGCACTCTGGCTCAACTTCCAACTCAAACGCGTTGTTCTCCTTGTCGTACCGTGTCATTTCTTTGAGACGTTCGTATAGGGATGCCATGGCCTGAGGTATTTCCTTCGGCCTCACAGCAACTTGACACAGGGTCGTCCAAATGATATTCTCGATCAAGCCCAGCAAAGGAGGTCGTTGGCAGCCTAGGTGCTTCCACATCTACGACAATTTCATTCAGCTTGAATTGGAAGGAGGTACGTTGACTTACTAAGAGATGCCAATGCCTTGCCACATGCTTCCCCATGGCGTCCCTTGTTTGCAGAAGCAGCAAGGGTGAGACCGCCAATGCCTGGTGGAGGGGAAGTAGCAACGCTTGCGGTCCCACACTTGGGTTCGCCCCCCGGTGTTGCTGGAGATACTCTGCCCCCGTTTGCTTATCAGCCCGCCCCCATTTCTCCGGGATTTCCTTGCCCTTGGGGAAGCCTATGTGAGACACACTTATTATCAAAACTAGATGCTGACTTACCTCCAAGGCGGCACGAAGGCCAGCTGCCGCCAGCGCGAAGTTGGCCACTATCCTTGATGCTTTCGACGAGTTCTTTGACTTTTGGAATATCCCGTACAGATATCCGAGATCGTCGTCGCCTTGCTCCAGAGCAGAGAAGAATTGGTTGGCCTTTTCCTGCTCTTTCGGGTTCTCCAACATTTGTCCCAGGGAGGAAAGCGCTTTTTTGACCATGACCGGCCAATCGTACAATTTGACGATGGAATCCGTGCTGTTCCCCGCCAGCTTGATGCAACCATCGGGTTGAGGAGAAGGGCCGCATGTGTTGTGGGAGAGCGTCGGGTTGAGTTGTATCGCAGTGAGCAGGGAATACGTCGCTATTATCCCTATGACGAGGGCAGCCTTCGAGTTATGGCTATCTTTACTGAATGGGTTTTCGATCCAATGCTTTATTTCCCTCTCAGCAGAGGTGATCTGATTGACGAGCGACGTCTTCTGTTGTGGCTAAGATACGGATGAGTAACGTCAACATGACATCAAAGGACTTACAGAGAGTGCGAGATCGACGTGAGCCAAACTCATTATCCAGGGGAGCTCTGAAATCCCCAATCGCTCCACAGCCGCAAGAAAAGGGCCCGAAGTTCTATGAGGCAATTGATTAGCGCACGTACGCCCCAAGGATCCTCGAAATCATACCCGATTGCCAATGGCTCCGTAATCAGTTGCATGTCCTGATTATCAGCATTGGAGGAAAACTGAAGTTGTTCCGTGTTGTTTGAGGACATTTCTGTGTGTCTATAGCAGAGAGATATCTATTGGATTTCGAAGAGAGCAAGGAGCAACGGTGAATGTTCGTCAGGAAGTAAAAATGTCACAAACATGTAATTCCCACGCAAAATAGGGGCAAAGACAAATTTTGGTATATCATGATGTTATGTTGAGGACGATTTGGGTATTTTAAAAGGCACTATATGATGAATTTTGAAAAAACAAAAATACTGCATATTTTTCTCTGAACCGACATGCAGACCCCTGACCCCTGTTATCACGTGATCTTATGGGCAATGTTGCTCCGGTTTTCCTGAGCAAATAAGCGCTCGATGGCCGAGATGGCCGGCCACCACCTGCTATCTCAATCGCTTATTTATTCCCAGGTAGAAAATTAAATACATAGCGCACAACTGCATTGAGTATTCATGCTACTATAGCACACGTATGTCAGCCCCACAAGCTAGAATCCTCAGAGCCTGAGTCTTCTTCGCTATCGAGCTCGCTTCCATCCTCAGGTGCCAAATTATCAACTTCGCTTTGCTCGTGCGATTCTCCATGCGCTGCGCCCTCTGGTTCATCAATATAATTGATGCGGTTTTGATTCTCATCTATGCCCTCTACTTGTCTAGTCTTGCGTTTTGGAGGCACCCTTTTGTTCTTTGCCCTGCCAGTCCGCGGTCGGTTCTTGATTGATTTGAGTCGTCGAATGGCCGCCAAGGCAGTTCCTCTAGGTATTCTGTGCAGGACCTCCAATTGGTGGGTTTGAAACTGCAGCGATGACCGCAATGTGCGTGCCTTCCGTCGTTGTCTTCTGCCTCGCTGACCCCCTCCACCCACTGATTCCAGCAAATAGAATTGAGGGTTGGTATCCAAGACGACAGCGTCCTCTCCTAAACTGGCCTGCATCTTGGTGTACCATAGTTCGTTCCCCTTCCGAGCGGGCAAACACTGGCAGCAGCCAAGAAGCTTTGCCAATAACATTCCAAGTTCTGCACGCTGATCCTCTGTAATAGAATCGACCTGCGCCCAGTACTCCCCTAAATATCCAACCTCCCCCGCTAGCGCCTGCCAAATCCTCGTTTGTGGTTCGGTACCTCGGATGGGAAAGAAGTCGTTAAAACGTGCTTGAAAGGCTGGCTTTCTTTTTGCGCCAGGAATGCTGCCACGTAGCCCAGCTGAGTTGGGTAGGCAAACAGCCAGCTTGAGGGTTTCCAAGGCTGATGTCACCGACCATTGCTGAAGCGCCTCTTGCACATTTGAGGGTGCCACCAACCGAGTGACCATATGTTCAGCCAGGAACCACCATGTGCAGTACGTCATCCTGGTAAATAGATAGCCAGCCCTAAGTTCCATCGAATTGGGCAGCCCATGAAGAATGTTATTCAAGGTTAGCGGCCACTTGAAAGGACCCAGAAGCGTCCATGGCTCCCTGAGCAGCGTCTGCTGAATTTCATTCCAGCCAGGGCTTCTCCCCAATGGAAATCGTTCGTTTCCCTGCTGCGGCATTTGCACTCGAGGAGGTCGCCGACGAAATGAGACTCCCATCTCTTGATGAACTTTGAGGTCGTCGAAAGGAGAGATTTCCGGAAGGCAGTTGGCCTCATCCAGACGCAAAGAGGAGAGAAAAAACATCTGAAAACGCTGCATATTTTGCTTGAAGTAGAGGTCTCGAAGCGCTTGTCGAACAAACGATCGTGTCAGTGGCGGCGTGAAGACAACGGACTGCATCAAGAAGGCAACGACGCCTGTGATTGTGCCGTAGTTCGTCGGCATCCTTTCCCAGACGTAACGGTGGAAGGCATCCAATGCCAGGATTCTCAAGGCCAGAAATTCGAAAAAGGATTTGCTAGGCACCCAAGTGACGAAATTTGGCCCCAGACGCTGCCAAATCTACGTGGAAAATGGACCATCAGCGATGAGTTAACCTGTCAAAAAATGGCGGACACGCGCCTGGTGCTTAATCGCCTTGGATGCCTGGGCCATCGCTGCCCCACTGACCCGAAACTCCTCTCTAACTCCAAAGCGTTTCTTGGTGGCTGAGCTACGGAAGATGTCTACCAGGCCCTTGACTTGGTCGACGTGCTTTGGGCTGCGATCAAAAACCTCCGTGTCGGAGAAGAGGTCCCGCGAATTGTTAGCCTTCCTGGCTACCTCGTACCACAAGTTGTAACTATGTCGAAACGCAATACCCGTTTGCTCCGCCCGCTTCTGACCCATCTCAGATTGCAAGGCGCCATGGTTTGCCATTGTGTTGATGTGGTGGATGTTGCCAGCGCCATATCCTGATGCTCCGTATGACGCCTCCAACCCAGCCAGCGTCCAAAGTCCGACTACCCCACGACGCTTCGGATGGATACTAACCCCAATGTCTAGAAGCAGGTCGCCGCCATTCGACGGATCTAACATGTACGACCAATCAAGACCATCAAACGTCTCTTGGCACTTGCGGAATGCACTGGAGACCGTGTCCTCCATATCCATGCCAATCTCTGGCTCATATGTCGCTCGGCAGTACGACTTGCACCCCTTGTTCTCCAAGACGAAGAAGTAGGACCCGTATTGCGTCTTCCCTTCTTGGTCAAGGGCTCTGATCTGAAATATGGCATGAGCAAGGCGAAGGGATAGAAATTCGTAGCAGCATTGTACCATTTGATCAAGCTCCCGCAAAAATTGGGCAAATTTGGGTCTGCTCAAGGGGAAAGATGGCGTTGCCGAGCTTTTACCACCTTGCTTGAATTTGACATGGTCCTGGTCATAGCCTGCGTAGACCTCCTCTGTCACACCAATGACCCTTCGGAGCGATGGTAGGATGACATCCTCCCAGATGAGATACTGAATGTGAGCTGGAACCTTGGACGTCCAGAACCGTGAGTAAGGGGCTTTGTGGGTCATTCGAGGAAAGAAGAGGTAGAGGTTGACCATGCTGCTGAGACCACCTTGAATGCCAAGGTGCACATGGGGAACACGGCTTAGAGCAAAACGTTGAAGAAGCCAGTCTGTTCGTGCGCCTCCTGCATCTCTGTCCTCATCTGAGGGCGGCACAAGGAGCTCCGCGTAAGCGTGGTTGTTCTTCCAAATTGGGGCGCGATCACGAATGACGGGGCTGGTTAATATGGCGACAGGCTTCATGAAACGCGGCTCCCTGGTGACGAAGATGACGCTATCGATGTCTGCTGATACAGCAAGATCGTCAGGACCGAGAATAAGCTGATCCTTAGTGATATCTACATGCACATGGTGTGATTCCGAATCAAGGCCGGTGACAACAATGTTGATTGCCTCTTGAGAAGTGCGAGCGTGTGCGATCATATCCTCCAAGCCCATGGAGATGACATCATACCCAGAGGGCGGCTCGGTGCATGAGGGCTGAACGAGGTCGTCAGGGACTTCACGCATTATGTGGCTGCCAACTTGAGTGGGTGGGGTCATATGAAACATCTGAGCAAAGGATGGGAGTATACGCCAGCCATAGTCATGAAAGTGCTCCCAGCCATGCAAGAGAATATGCTTGGCTATGTAGACCAGCCCTGGGGCGTACCCCTCAATCGTATCATCAACGGGCAAAAGAGCAGAAGCAGTAGGCCCTGTCTCATACTCGTCGAAATTTCGGTCAAAAGGAAGGCGAAGGCCTCTCAGATTGTTTTTCCGGTTCAAGGGGACAGGAAGTACAGGCAGATTGTCTTTCCTAGTCAGGCGAACAGGAAACGCAGGTCTCGGGGTCAAGGGAACCGGAAGTACGCGTCGTGGGAATCGCTCTATAAGTGCACCGAGCGGAGCAGGTGTGTGTTCAGTTGGAGCCCCCAGTCTGCCAAGCTCGAATTCGTCGTCGTCCTTTTCTCCACCGGATGGGTTATCGCCGTCCTCGTCCTGGGCTGGTGGAGAGACTATATTATTGAACGGATTGAACCTTCGAGCGCCTTTGAGAAGTTTGCTCAGCTGTTCAGATCGACAGGACCTCTGCGGATGAAAGGGCCTCGTCGGCTTGCATTTCGCGCAGATTGCCATGCTCGTTAGGAGGTTCTGCTCTATCGGAATGACCACAGCAGCTAACAGGGTGGGCGTTAGGGACTTTTGAAGGTTATCAACTAATTCTCGCAAATCTAGGTACTGGGCGATCAAAGCGGGGTAATGGTTTTGAAGATGGGCATGAATGGTTATCCAGTCCACAAGGCTAATTTGGAGATCTCGGAGCATGGTCAATCGAGTTGTATGGCAGCAAAGAAGGGCTGGCCTCTCCCAATAACCATTCGAGTCGAAGACGAGCCGTTCCGTCCACATGTGCGTAATGGCCTGGCATACGATTGGGCCGCAGTCGTAGCCATTTTGCGGTAATCCAACTTCCTTGATATGCATGGTCTCTTCGCCCAATTGCCAGCCATTGAGCAGGCAAACCCTTCTCCAGACATCTTGCGATCCTATCGCAGTCCAGTTTCCCCGCTTGCCCATGAGGTCGCCAGTGCGGCCCAGAATGTGGATTTCACGAGCTTCAGGGCGGAATATGACGCAGCAGTAGTGGTTTCTGTTAACCAAAATAACACCCACGCAGTCCTGCATTATGCAAGGACCCTCCTCGATCAGGGGTAAGTCGTCGTAAATTCTTCGATAACCATCAATCTCGTCGGGTCCCCAAGGTGGCCCATCGCATAGCAGGTACGTCATAGGGATGTATCGAGGCAATGGCTCTTGTAGCTGCTGGTACTGCTTCAGAAGCCACTGATCCATCGCAATCCCGTCGATGTACTGTTCGTGACTCAGAGTCATCAGAGAGTCGCGAATTTGTACCAGCCGAAGAGGATTGATGAGGTATAACT